GCTGCGTGGCTGGCTGGCTGGCTGGCTGGCTGGCGGGCGGGCGAACCACGGACCGATGGTTGGTTGGTTGGTTGGTTGGTTGGTTGGTTGGTTGGTTGGTTGGTTGGTTGGTTGAGTGAGTGAGTGAGTGAGTGAGTGACGGATGAACCGACGGACGAACGGACCGACCGACGGACCGACCAACGGACCGACCGACGGACCGACGGACCGACGGACCGACCGACGGACCGACGGACCGACCGACGGACCGACGGACCGACGGACCGACGGACGGACCGACAAACCGACGGACCGACCGACGGACCGACCGACTGACCGACGGACCGACGGACCGACGGACCGACGGACCGACAGACCAACAGACCGACCGATGAACCAACCGACCGACCGACCGACCGACCGACCGACTGGACTGAGTGACTGAGTGAGTGACTGACTGACTGACTAACTGACTGACTGATCCAGTGATTGATCGATCAATTGATTGATTGATTGATTGATTGATTGATTGATTGATTGATTGATTGATTGAAAAAAAAAAGGTGGAGGGGAGAGGAACCAACCAATTGATTGAAAAAAAACACAAAAAAGGCGGAGGTGAGGGAAGTCAGCCGCTACTCTGGCGTAGTCCTCCTCCTCTCGTTCTCCTCCTTCTTTTCCTCCTCTTCCTCATTCTCCATTGCCTCTTTCTCCTCCTCCTCATTCTCCTCCTCCTACTACTACTCCTCCTCCTCTTCCTCCCTCCATCGCCTTCTCCTCTTCCTCTTCCTTGTCCTCCGCCTCCCCCTCCTCCTCTTCCTCTTCCCCCTCTTCCTCTTCCACCTCCTCCTCTTCCACCTCCTCCTCCTCCTCCTCTTCTTCCTCTTCTATCACCTCCCCGTTCTCTTCGTCCTCCTCCATTGCCTCTTCCTTCCTCCTCCTCCTCCACCTCAGCCTCGTCATCGTCATCTTTATAATGGCGGGAGTAACTATGACAGTTTGAAGCTAGTAAATGCCTCGTCGTCTAATTAGTCACGGGTCCTGAAATGACGAACGATATTCCTTTTTTTTCTCAATCAATCAATCAATCAATCAATCAATCAATCAATCAATCAATCAATCAATCAATCAATCAATCAATCAATCAATCAATCAATCAATCAATCAA